AGGGCAGAGGTGAGGTGGGGAGTAATGGCGGCAGATTCCTTGACGCTTTCCCCCTGGAAAAGTGGATCTGTTCTCTTCTTCCTGGAGTTGGAGCTGCTGTGAGCGTTTTGAACAGTAAACTAGGGCAGAAGAGCTGCTCTGTCTGGCCTTTCAGAGCACTGGAAGCTTCCACTCTGGGGCTCGTGGGGTCCAGAACTGCTGGATAGGAAATCCCTGTGGGAGCCACTGGGAGGGACCCTGGGCTCGTTACAGGGAGAAGGATCTGCTACCTCAGCCCTCGGCTTCACCCTCTGGGCGCTGGGGCGACGGGGGCATTATAGACAAGGGGTTCTAGTGAAGATGGCTGTCTGTCCTCTACTGCTGAGAACCCCTGAGGAAGGCTTGGGTAGTTATATGTATAACGCGTGTGTGTGTGTGTATAATGTATATATTTACACATACCTACATAATTTACAGCCGTAAAGCTAAGCCAGCCTTCTGGTCATCCCTGCCAAGGTACCAGGCATGGAAATGAAGTCAACCTGGACCTTTTAGACTAGCCTAGACTCCAGCTGAAGACCACCCAGTGACGCCCGTGGACATCATGTGGGCAGACAAATCAGCCCACTGAGCCCTTCCTGGCCTCCCAACCACATCATGTATAAAATATGATGAAATAGTTGTAGTCAAGCCACTGAATCTGGAGTAGCTCGTAACAGGCCAGAAATAAGCGAGGGAAGGAGCAGGCATCCCCATGAGTATCTCCAACAAGGCCGGCCTTCGGCAGCTAGGACCACGGCCCGAGAGCCTTGGACTTTACTCCCATGGGCTGGAGGCTGGAAGCCCAAGACGGAGCTGCTGTCAGCTCTGGTGACTGGCGAGGGCCCCGTCTCTGGTTTCCTGCTGTGTCCTCACATGGCAGAAAGAGGGTAAGAGAGCTCTCAGAGAACTCTTCTGTAAGGCTCCACCCTCATGACCTCCTAAAGAACCTTCTCCTAATACCTAACGCCACGGTGCCGGAGTGCCCTGTTCCCTCTGAGTCCTCCAGGGCAACCCCTCCTGGCCTCCTAGTTTCTGGGGGTTGCCAGTGACCTTCGGGGTTCCCTGCCTTGCATGTGCAACCTGAGAATCCATCATCACGCAGCATCCACGTGTGGCTCTGCATCTGCACGGGGCGTCGTCCACTGGAGGAGGGCCCCCTGATCCATTATGCTCATCTCAACTGCGGCGCTACATCTGTCCCAGACGGTGAGTACCAGCACGTCGCAGGCTTGGATTTCAACATGTGAGTCTGGGGGACACAAACGTTCAGCCCATCATGGCCCCCGTGCTGTGCTGCCCCCATTTTTCTGCATGGGCCTGGCACAATGGTACTGCATACAAATCTGAGAGAGCCTGGTACAGCGACCGAAGGACATGTGGAGTGGACCCTGGTCCCAGGACTCTGGAAAGGTACCCTGGAGTACTCTCAGCGGGTACTCCAGCTTACCCCTGAGAAACAAAGCAAGACAGCACACTTGTCCACGGTGAGCTGTGACATGGGACTGAGCTCCTTCAGGACCGAGACCTCAGCCTTGTTCCCCAGCCTTGGCCGCACATGGGGCCCATCTGAAGAGCTTGTAAGAGACCATTTCAAACGTTCATGGAAAATGTATTTCACACACACACACACCCCGCTGCTGGGCCTTGCTCCTGAGGTGTGAGCAGTGGGATTTTTTTTCAAGCTTCCCTATGTGATTCTCAAGTACAGCTTGGTTTGAGAACTATTGACCAGGAGCTAATCCATGTGTCCAAAAGTGAATCTGAAATTCCTTGAACTTAATTTGAAACGAACTAAACTAGAGGAAGAACTTCAACAACTAACTGCAGGCTGGAACCGGGAATCCCGTGCTTGGGGACAGGTGACGACCCCCCCTCCTCCCGTCCACGCCTTCCTCTGACTTGGTGGGCCCTCACCCATGGATCAGCCACAGGGACCGGCCTCTGCTATGGGTTGAATGGTGTGCTCCCCCAAATGTATGCTGAAGCCCAAACCCCTAAGGTCTTGTTTGGAAATGTGGTTGCTGCCACGGTGACCGTGTATTAATAGTTAAGATGAGATTGTAATGGATTAGGAAGCCCTCCTCCAGTACAAATGGTGTCCACATGAGAAAATGTCCCTGTTGGGCCAGTAGGTGGCATTGTGGTTAAGGCACTGGACTCCCATATGGAGGACTGTGGTTCAAGTCCTGGACCTGGTAGCTTGCTTTCTCATGTTCCCTCTCTCTCTGTCTCTGTGGTGAGTGTACATGCCCTGTAGCATTACCCCTGAGAAACAAAGCAAGACAGCACACTTGTCCACGGTGAGCTGTGACATGGGACTGAGCTCCTTCAGGACCGAGACCTCAGCCTTGTTCCCCAGCCTTGGCCGCACATGGGGCCCATCTGAAGAGCTTGTAAGAGACCATTTCAAACGTTCATGGAAAATGTATTTCACACACACACACACCCCGCTGCTGGGCCTTGCTCCTGAGGTGTGAGCAGTGGGATTTTTTTTCAAGCTTCCCTATGTGATTCTCAAGTACAGCTTGGTTTGAGAACTATTGACCAGGAGCTAATCCATGTGTCCAAAAGTGAATCTGAAATTCCTTGAACTTAATTTGAAACGAACTAAACTAGAGGAAGAACTTCAACAACTAACTGCAGGCTGGAACCGGGAATCCCGTGCTTGGGGACAGGTGACGACCCCCCCTCCTCCCGTCCACGCCTTCCTCTGACTTGGTGGGCCCTCACCCATGGATCAGCCACAGGGACCGGCCTCTGCTATGGGTTGAATGGTGTGCTCCCCCAAATGTATGCTGAAGCCCAAACCCCTAAGGTCTTGTTTGGAAATGTGGTTGCTGCCACGGTGACCGTGTATTAATAGTTAAGATGAGATTGTAATGGATTAGGAAGCCCTCCTCCAGTACAAATGGTGTCCACATGAGAAAATGTCCCTGTTGGGCCAGTAGGTGGCATTGTGGTTAAGGCACTGGACTCCCATATGGAGGACTGTGGTTCAAGTCCTGGACCTGGTAGCTTGCTTTCTCATGTTCCCTCTCTCTCTGTCTCTGTGGTGAGTGTACATGCCCTGTAGCAAATTAAAATAATAATAATGATAAATAAAAATTGTTAATAAAAGCCACTGATGCTTTGAAGATACAGAACCACACAAGGGATGATGAGGATTATCACGCTGATCTGCAAGTCAGGGGACCACCAGAAGCTAGAAGGTTTCAGAGGGACCATGGCTCTGGTTTCAGAGGGACCATGGCTCTGGTCCCTTCATTCCGGATCTGCAGTCCCCAGAGCTGTGCGACAACACATTGTGTTGCTTGAAGCCACGTGGTGCGTGCTATTTTGTTACAGCAGCCAGCCTGAGGAAATTGCTAACAGCCTCTAAAAGCCAAAATGGGCTTCTGCCCGCCTAGCTGGATGGCAGTCCCGAGTGCCACAGGCTATGTGCCCCTGCCCCCCAAGGCAGATGCTGGCCAGCTGGGGTCACGGTGTCAGAGCTGCAGGGTGGGGGCTACTGGAGTGTGGTTAGCCGGGTGTTTGAGGGACATGTCCCTTATAGAGGCCACCCGTGTCCCTTCCCTCTCCCCTCCCTTGTTCGGGGTGATCACGTGACCGCTAGAGAACAGGAAGCTATCTGCCCAGAACCCTTGTCTATGGGTCTTCTTCTCCCCCATGCTTGCCTGAGGAAGAGCGACAGCTGAAATGACTTGAATTATCTTGTTCTCTTCAGCCTCAAAAAAGCACGGTCCGCTGCTTACTAACCCAGGGTGGATAAAAGCCCACGTGGAAAATTGCCTTCGCATACTTCTGCGCGAATGCACGTTTTTGCGGCCAGGTTGGGGGCGACTTGCAGGGCCCGCTGACATAGTCACTAACCCTGCGGCCCTGTAAATGCCCCTTCAGGACAAGTCACACATCTAGTGAGTAGGGCTGCCGAGTGGGCTGGGGATGACTCTCTGAAGAGCCTGTCAGGGGTCAGCAAATCCGGTCTGCAGGGCTGTCTTGAAAACATGTCCAAGAGGAGAGCAGCCAAGCAGAATGATGCATCTCATTTGTCTTGAGAGGGGACAAGGCAGAGAATGGCAGTGAGTGCGTAAAGTAAGGAGGACTATGCAAAGCCACCTGGAAAGCCTTAATACCTGCTACCCGGGGGTGGAGGAGGGCACAGATTGGAGGAAGCAGGCAGCAGGTGGTGGCAGGAAGTGCTGTTTTGTCTTGTTATAAATTTCATTTGTGATTTTCATCAGTGAGTTTTGGTTGTGGCTGAGGAGGCTTCAGAGTCAATCAGTTAGGGTTTGGGAGGGGAGCCTAGGGGTTAGGGAATCGCGGTTTGGGCAGGCGAGGTGGACTGCGTGTTTGTTTTACAGACAGGGCCTCACTGTGTCGCCCAGGCTCGGCCCACTTTCAGTCCTCCTGCCGCAACCTCCCAAGCAGCTGGGTCCACATGCCCTCCTCAGTGAGTTCTGACTGCCGCTATGGGGTAGGTGTCACCTGGTATCCAAGGGTGGCTGGTCTGGGCAGCCCCACCCACCGACACAGGAGACTTGTGTTTGCAGTCTGCGTCGGAGGCCCTCGGAGCTTATGGGGGTGTTAGGAGCATGGACGCGGGGCTCTAGGTCTGGGAGGGCAGTGAGAGGCTGCTCAGGGTGGTTTAGTGCCAATGGGCACCTCCAAGGAGCCGGAGCTGAGCAGAGGGACGCAGTTTGCAGTCTTCCAGGTGAAACCGGGGCCACCTTCCGAGTGGCCAGGAGCTGCTACGTGTACACTAGGTGAGCCACATGGTAGCCACCCAGACACGGTGTGTCTGATGCCCAGAGACACCCAGCATGGCCCAACTCTGTCAGGTGGTCTCTACCCCTGCAAAGCTCAGTCATCCTCAGTAACACGATGAGACACAGCTCACTCTGGGGGAGGGGCTGAGACAAGGAGAAACTCTGAGCCCAGCTCTGTGTAGTGAGAGACCTCAAGGGTCAGGCACCACTTACCTCTGCGATTAACAGGGTCCTTAGCCACATATGCCACGTAGTCTGTTGTGTCCTGTGAAAGACAAAGGGGAGAGCCACATCAGTAATCATGGGAGAGAGACAGTCGGCCAGGGCCACTGTGTGTGACCCACAGACTTTGAAGGAGGCCACCCGCATGTCGGTAAGCAAATGCTGCCTGAATGACCATGCAGGGAAGACCGTTTCCCAGACTACGGTAAGTAACGTGTAAGATTTCACCAGAGACCTTGCGAGAGGCAGGGATCTGCTGGCCATGCCCACACTCTTGAGCACAAGGTTGAAAGGCACCTCTCCTGGGCCAGTAGGTGGCATGGAGGTTAAGGTGCTGGATCCCACATAGGCAACTCCACGGTTCAACTCCCAGACCCAGCAGCTTGAAAACTCACACCAGGCATGTGTACATGTGTGCCTAAATCCAGAGAAGAGACTGGAGGGGAGGGGACAGCAGCATGGCCATCTCCCCATAGGGAGGGATTTCTCACCCCCTTGTCCCCTCTGTTTCTCTCTGGAAAGCACATATACTCTATAGCAAAAAAAAAAAAAAAAAAAAAAAAGACTGGCGGGGGAAAAAAAAAAAAAAAAAAAAAAGGTACTGGCAGGGGGTGTGGTGGTTAAGGGTGCTGGCTTCCCACATGGCCAACTATGGTTTGAGTCCTGACCTGGCGACTTGCTTTCTCCCTATTTTAAGCTCCAAAACACAAAGACCTGAGTCCCAATTCTCAGATAATCTGAGTCAATTGGTTTGGCTATAAGATCCGGGCATCATTTTTCAGTGCTCCCAGATGACTGTAATGCAAACTGAAGTTGAGAACAAATGCTGTCAGCCCTGTCTACACCACGGCTGGTGTTCAAATCCCCTGCAAAGCTATTAAAACAAACCACTGGGGCACACCTAGAGATTCCAAGTCAGTGGGTCTGGAGTATAGTCCCCAAATTTTCCTCTCTGGTAAGTTTTCAGCTGCTGCTGTCTATAGATCACATTTTGAGATCTGCTGGTCTACAAGAAAACCCTAGTGAAAGTTCAAAGGTTAGCAAGGTGGATGAGACCTGACTGACCTCTTCTTCTTGGCCAGACGTGAGAACGTAAGCCTTGATGATGTTGAGGATATATGCGTTCTGTTTAACATGTCGCCCCTCTATGTGTAATTTGAGTTTCTTCGATTGCCTTTTCATTTAACCAGTGCAGAGAGAGCATGCCCCAGCACCCATTCATTTTAGTTTCTAAAAATGGAAACAATCTGGCCAGATGGAGGCGCTGTGGTAAAACTCAACAGGGCCAGGCTGGTCCACAGCCTCGTGGGTCTGGGCTCACCTCCAGCACGCTCCCTTTGCATGTCGAGCACACGCATGCCCATGATCCGGGCCAGGCTGAGGCTGGGGGAAGAGGGCCGCAGCACTAAGACCCTGTGGGATGCTGCCCCTCTGTCAGGCTGTCTCTCTCTCTCTTGTTCCTGATAAAAATAATTTCAAGAAGTTCTCTTTTTGTTGTTGTTGTTGTTTTATTTTTACTCTGGTCTAAGAAACTGTACTCTTGCTTTAAGTTGGGGAAGGAGAGCCAGTAAATAGGCATAATGTGTCACCGTCACTTAGATGGTTAATGGCCAAGCCAGGCTGTAGCTTTTCTGATGATGATCTTGATCCTTTCCTGGCACAACGGGGAAGTGTATTAGGATTCGAAGCAATGTTCTTGGCATCACTCGGCTGCACAGTGAGACACTAAGTTCCATGGATGAGGCCTCCCAGTGCCCGTTCTGCACTTATTCCAGGCCTGTTCTTATTCCCCAAGACCTTCTGAGCCTGGCCATTATCTAAGCATTTTAACACTGGTAATAATCGCAGGTTGCAGCTCAGCCAGACGGCGCCGTCTGTAACATTCTAGACTGCGGTGTAGGAAGCCACATGGTTGATCACAGGTTAAGCTCCCAGGTCTGCTTGAAAACATGCGGGTTGCACACACAGGGGACAAGGATTCTGAGGAGCTGAAGGGCAGGGGAAAGGGAATCATGGCATGACAAGACCCTACCAAGGTGCCTCTCTAGGGGACCAGCAGGCATGGTGGTTAAGTCACTGGACACTCCCACATGGTTGACCACAGTTTGGGTCCTGGACTTGGTGACTTGCTTTCTCACTTTCTCTCTCTCTCTCTCGCTCTCTCGCTCTCGCTCTTGCTCTCTGTGTGTGTGTCTCTCTCTGGTCAAATTAAAATAAATGAATGAATAAATAAAATTAAATTTTAAAAAATTCTTAAAAAAAAAAAAGATGCCTCTCCACGATGTGCATGTTCTAGCATAAAAAATAATAATGTCGTGATTGAGATGATTGTGTGCCCCTTCCTGGAAGGGGAGTAATAGTGTTTTCCAGTATATCTTGACATTTCAAAAAAACATTTTTCTTGGGGTAAACTGAGGCACAAAGTAATGAGTAGTATGCACATTTAGAGGTGAACAAGGACTGGGACAGGGAACTACAATTTTATTTACAATATCTACCATTGCAATGTGTTAAATGCATGGTTACAAATCACTCCGGGATGGGTTCTCAGGCTCGGTGTAATGTGCATCGAGGTTGGTTAAAATAGAAAATGACCAGGTTTGGGACCAGCAGTTGGCACAATGGCTATGTCGCTGAACTCCCATGGTAGTCAACTGTGGTTTGAGTCCCAGACCCGGTGGCTTAAACGCATGCTGGGCACATGTGCATGCATGCCCAAGATCCCGAGAGGAGAATGGAGGAAAAGGGATTGCAGCGTGGCCATCCCCTCTGAGGGGTGATTTTTCACTTTCTGTCTTTTTGGTGAGCACACATGCCCTATAGCAAAAACCTCTCAAAAAAAAAAAAAGTAACCAGGTTTTCTGCCCCTAGGTATCATAATATTTTCTGTACCAGAAAAAAGAAAATATGAAAGGTCACAAACTACTTTAAGGATCATTAAATAATTCCAATTTCTGTTTGCTTTAGTGTAGAAGTGATATAGAAATTGAAAAACAAACTATAACCCCCATGCATATCTTAGAGAATAAAATAATTTTAACACAAGCCAATGTATCTGGCTTTTCATGATAGAGATATCTGTGCTTGCACTCAGAATATCACCATGAAGACAAAGCTTGGGGCCAGCAAGTTAAGGTGCCGGATTCTTACACGGCTGGCTGTGTGGTTTGAGTTCCAGACCTGGCAGCTTGCTAGCTCGCTCTCTCTCTCTCTCTCTCATGCCCTATAGTAATTTTTTAAAAATAATTATTTTTTATTTAATTTTATTTATTCATTCATTTATTTTAATTTTACCAGACACACACACACACACACACATACACACAGAGAGAGAGAGAGAGAGGGAAATTGAGAAAGCAAGTCACCAGATCTAGGACCCGAACCATGGTCGGCCATGTGGGAGTGCCCAGCATCTTAACCACCACGCCACCTGCTGGTCCCAATAACAAATTTTTTTAAAAAGGGAAAAAAAAAAAAAAAACAAGGCTTAAGACAAGTTCCTGAAAGGAGCTGTCAGTCCAAGTGTGCAAGATATCTGCCTCGAGCTACCTTCCACATTTAAGGAAGTGTGGTTTCAAACATCACATTGAGGAGACACCGCAAAATTAAAAGGAACATCTTCTCAAAATATAGACAATGTTTTCAACTGAATAAACTTAACTCTAAGAAAAACTTACTCTGTTATCCTAACTTTAAAATATTTCCCTGAGCTTGTGAAAACTTCACCCAACCGGTGAAAAAAAAGTATGTCATGTTCCAGGGCTGAGCCTTTCTCCCCTCACTGCTTTGGAAAGGGTCGACTTGCTTTTCTTCCCTGCTCTCCTTGTCTCACTCCCTTGTGACTGGTTTCCAGCCTGGTTTCTTGGAAGGGCCGGCCCATCAACAGTTAGCGGGATCTGGTATGTGGGTCTGGCCCTCCTCCCACCTTCGGTGACAGCACACTCAAGGAATGGCAGTGCCAAGACGAATGCCGACATGGTATTGCAGTGCTCTGACCAAGTGCAGGGAGCAGACCCTGGTTCCTCCCCCATCTTCATGAAAGAACCGATGCAGAAGAGGAATACTGTCATCCTGTTCTCTAGGCTCTGTCTCCCTCTCTCTCCGCAACTCTTTCCATTTTGCAGACTCTTCCTTGTTGCAAAGCAAACCAATAAAGATGACAGTGTCAGGTTGAAAGAGGGAGTGATGCCCATGTTAAGTGTCTATGAAGAAACCAGACTAAGTAGGTTCACGGCCCTCAAGTAGACTTAATACATTTTAATGGGACACACACACACACACACACACACACACACACACACAGGTTCAATGGAGGATTAAAAAAAAAAAAAAAAAAAAAAAAAAACAAAACAAGAAAAAGGCTGAGCAAGCATGGAGCGATGATGTGAGAAGACCCTGGCAACTCTGAAGATTGAGGAGTTATTTCATCACCTTTTTAAAAGGCTAACCCTTTCAGGATTTTTGACAGCTGTTAGCAGTTGGCTGATGAAATGAAAAATTAATTCTAAGTCCTCCTTCTAGTTTACCTCTGAGTTCCAAAAAAAGACAGTCAAAAGGAGTTCTTGAAATCAAGAAGGGGGAGTTGGGATCACAATCAAATTTTTTCTTTGATTTTTAATTTTTAATTGTCAGGGGCATGTGAGGGGTCAGAGAGAGGGAGGGAGAAAGCACCCCCAATGGGGTAACCCAATGGGGTACTGTCATGCTGTAGTCCCTCCTCCTCCATATCTCCATTCTGCTGAGATCTGGGGCATGCATACATCCACCTGGCATGTTCTTCAAGCAACCACGGCCATGATTCACACTGTGGCCAGCCATGTGGGATTTGGCCTCCTCAACCACCATAGGGCCAGCCTTACCATAAACTGTGTCATGCCTTCAGAGGTACACTTTTGAGGCAGGTCCCTTTTCAGAAATTCCCAACAAGAGCAAGAGAAACCACCCACGGGCACTTACCGGGTCTCCCCCGGAGGCGAAGGAGATGGACTGCATGTGATGGTTCGCTATAATCTGTCGGGCCCAAAACAAGAAAGGACATGAGCTGTTAATGCCCTTTGCACGTTTCCCAGCTAGTTATCGGCAGGCGACGCTGACGGACAGCTGAAAGTAACAACGGTACACGTAACCGTTTACGACCACTCGGCCGCTGGCTGCAGCCCACCTGCTGGGCCGACACGACCCGGCTTCCACCTCGTTAGAAGACAAGATTACCCCGTTTCACAGGAGGTTCTGAGGCCAGAGGGGCCAAGGGGTTGCTCAAAGCACAAAGGCTAGTAGGCAGCTGCGCTCCAACGAAACACGGGCCGCCATGCGCCCAGGGTCTTAAAGAGCTTCGTGGAGAAAGAAGAGGTCTCACCCGTGCACCAAAGCTTTTCAGCTTAAAAGTTGCTGTTCCCCAAAACATGCTGGGGTCTTGGGTACAGACCGCACCAATAGATTGGGGGTAAGCATAGGCCACACCGCCCCGTCCCATTTGTATCAAGTGCATGTAAATTAGAAAGCCGGCATAAAGATGTGAGGTCCATGCCACCAAAAGCTCTCCTGTAATTCATCAATTTAAAAACCAGAGAGGACATTCCAAGTTAATTTTAAAATGGGAAATTTCCATTAGCTTTATAAACTGCAGTGTACAGTGGAATTTAGCAGACACCAAGTAAATTAGAAGCTGCCCTACATTTAAAAAGCTACATAAGTCTTCCATGCTATTTTCATCGTTTAAAGACAATGGAATGACAGTGAAGTAAATCTCCGGGGGTGGGAGCAGCTTTCTCCATCCCACACACCCAGCTCTATTTCTGCACTCCCCTTAGGCCCTGGCCCTGGGCAGGCAGCTGGGATTTACAGAGCTATAATCACACCATCCGAGGGGTTTTTCCAAACATGCTCTCCTGTAAAACTTGAAATAAAGTACAATTGCATTATAAGATCAAATAAGGTATTCTTAAAAGCCTACTTGGTTGTTTGGGATCTAGAAAGCCTGAGTGTCTAAGTAAAACCACAAGGCTGGTGGGTCGTGGGCAAGCCGGGCTGAGCTAAACCTCAGCAGCTGGTTCATAGCTGTCAGGAATCTCCGTCTCTAGCCCAGGGTCGAAGTCTCCTAAGAGACCGACAGAGAAATAGCAATCACCAAATAATGATAAACTATGCCTTCTAAAGTTTAAAAAATGTTTAATTTTTGCTTAGTAGGCAGCCCTAAAACTTGCATTGGGAAATTAAATCAGGAGCTGTGATTTTTGGGGAAAAAAATGGAAACTGAGTCGGGTCAACCCAACGCTTGACCATTACCGTGTGACGCCATCTTGCTTCTGAGGGAGTGGGGGTGGAGGGGAGACCAGGAGAGCTAATGGACCTCAATTGCCTTCTGCTCTCGGGGTGTTTCAACTTTTCTTCTGCTTGGAATCTACAAGGTGCGGAGTCTCGATCCAGAAGGAGTCCTGCCGGCCCTGCCTGAGAGTTGCACTCAGGCCCTGAGGTCAGGCAGCTGGGAGAGGCGGCAGGTGCACTCTGCCCGTGGCCTGGCCTCTGCAGGCTGGCTCTCACCTCTGTCTGGCATCCCCCTGCTGCCCAGAGCCCAGTGCTCCGTCCTATCCACCTACAACACACAAGGGCCGAGCATGCCCCCCCAGCCTCACCACCCAGGACAGCACAGGGCCCCGCAGCACCTCCTCCTCCTGCTCTTTCTCAAAGTTAGTTTGCCTTTATTGCTGTGGGAGCCAGGTAGGAGGGGAGATTTGGGGGTACTATCCCACAGAATTGAGGGCTATAAACTGAGGGCTCCTAAAAACAAAAGGTCCACGAGCCACATGGAGAAGGAACAGAGAAGGGCGCGAATGAGAGTGAGGGCGATGTGGACGGCGCCAGATGATTGCGGAGCCCTGGACACGGCCATGCCGTACCCACAAACTCAGGGGCCCGTGGACCCCTCTGGGAGGAGAGTTCTCATCTGTCCTCAAGGACAAAGAAAATCAAGTGAGAAATGGTATCCAGTTATGTCAAAACCAGCCTGGATTTTGTCTCCCAGTTCTACACTGGGTCTAGAATTTCTTTCAACACCTTGGATGCAAGGTGGAGGTAAATGAAGCCGCAGTTGTTGCTAACTTACCAAGGAAATGTGGAAATCAAGAAATACAAATATGAGGAGTATTTGAAAAGTTCTTGGAAAATGTATATTATGAAAAGGGATGTGTGGGTTTTAAAAATATTTGCACTGGGGCCAACAGGTGGTGTGGTGGTGGAAGTGCTGGACTCCCACATGGCTGACTGCAGTTCAAGGCCCAGACCCAGTGGCTTGCTTTCTCACTTCCCCTCTCTCTCTTTCTTTATCTCTGTCTGGGGGGTGCAAGTGCCCTATAGTAAACTTAAAAAGTAATAAAAATAAATAAAATAATGTTTAAAATTTTTTTTAAAAAAAATGCACCAACATGAACTAGTACTTGAATCCCTTTTCTTACAAAGTCCCCTCGTGTACAGAGCAGCATCAGGCAGTGTTGTGTGGAGGTTGCACTGCAACCCCGGGGCTGAGGCTGGATGGAGCAGGGACGGCGTCCACACTGCACAGCCTCCTTTTTAGTGCACAAGCGTTTGTTCATTTTTTTTGGGGGGAGGGGGACTTTTTTCATTTTTTCCTAAAGTCATCAAAGCAAAAATCATGATAAAAAATTCTACTTTCCTTTACAATTCCCCAATGCAAAGAAAAAAACTATATGTGTAGGAAAAAATTGGTTTTGTCCATGGGATGAAAACATATAAATTCAAAACGTACGGATGAGGGTTAACTCTGTCCTCATCTCTTTAAAAAGTTTATATGAATTTCCAATCAAAACCACCCAGAGCCGCCGGGCCTGCGCGTGGCCACCGGGCTTGACTAAAGTCATCAAAGCAAAAATCATGATAAAAAATTCTACTTTCCTTTACAATTCCCCAATGCAAAGAAAAAAACTATATGTGTAGGAAAAAATTGGTTTTGTCCATGGGATGAAAACATATAAATTCAAAACGTACGGATGAGGGTTAACTCTGTCCTCATCTCTTTAAAAAGTTTATATGAATTTCCAATCAAAACCACCCAGAGCCGCCGGGCCTGCGCGTGGCCACCGGGCTTGAGCCTGCACGTGGCCGCCAGGCATGCGCCTGCACGTGGCCACCAGCCGCAGGGGGCC